TGGTTGCTGGTAATAAGAAAAAAAATTCTTGGCAAACATAACAGCTAGCTTCCTTCCTGTAACATGATATTTCTGTGGCATAAATCAAAGCTTATAATGCCAGCTTACTACAACTGAAGCCCTTCTACAAAATTCGTAATCAAGTGTGTTTAAAGATAAAGAAACTGTCGTGGCTTTATATTTTATCAAAGTCCGCCGAGAGACACTGTCTATCAATATCTTTGTCGGCAAACCACGTGTTTCACAAGCAGGATTATGGTTTAGTGACATCACTTTCTGGTCATCACTGTTTTGGCTATCGTTGTATTTGTGCATGTTGATATTTGGATTGTTGTTTTCTTTCTTTCTGCTTCCATAGAACGTATGTTGTTCTTTCTGTTTCTACTGCTTGGTCAGACTCAAGGAACAGATTTATTTTAAAAAACATACTACCACCAAACTTCGCGAGCCAGTCAAACAATTCATCCTTTTTCGTCTATCTTTTGTCAATTATGCTTCTTAGGTCGCAGTTATATAACACGACCGTGCGGCAGCCGAGCCAGGGCTCGCTCCGGTGCTTGATTTGCTGTGATGTAATGCAGTTTCAAGGATGTCAGTGACCTCTTCAACTACTCAGCCATAATGTACCAAATGTAAAGCCTCTGCTCTATATAGAAAATTGTTTAGCTTATAAATATGAACTGTACGTAATTTTGTGTTTTCTTACTAGGTCAACCTCATTTGAAAGCGGCCGATTACTCAAGATTTTCAGAACAGTAGATCCATTGAAATTATCACCATTTCAGCGGTTGATGGCTCAAGGTGAGCTGTGAGTTTCCCCTTAGAGAACCCTTATCAGGCCCATGGCAGCCGTCGTGGGTGTAGACGGCTAGACGTTCGCCTGCCACGATCCGAAGGTGGTGGGTTAAAGTCGTGACGGAGCGGGAACATTTTTCTAGAAATGACTTTGTCTGCCAGGTCGACCCAGCCTTAAACGAGGTACCAGGTAAAATCATGGAGGTAAAGGCGGCCAGCATGATGTTGACCACACTCTCACACCCCGAGTACCTGGCCTATACAAACATAGGTCTGGCCCTATATGTCCACAAGGCGAGGGTTCCATTACCCTACCATCAGGCGAGTGGCCCATATGGCTTATGAGCCTAGTAGGTGGTGTGGACAACATGATACCGGTCGTCTTTACCTCCACTGACTTATCACGGCACCCAGTAGGTGATGTGGACAACATGATACCGGTCGTCTTTACCTACACTGACTTATCATGGCACCCAGTAGGTGATGTGGACAACATGATACCGGTCGTCTTTACCTCCACTGACTTATCACGGCACCCAGTAGGTGGTGTGGACAACATGATACCGGTCGTCTTTACCTCCACTGACTTATCATGGCACCCAGTTAGGTGATCGTGGACAAACATGATACCGGTCGTCTTTGCCTCCACTGACTTATCACGGCACCCAGTAGGTGATGTGGACAACATGATACCGGTCGTCTTTACCTCCACTGACTTATCACGGCACCCAGTAGGTGATGTGGACAACATTATACCGGTCGTCTTTACCTCCACTGACTTATCACGGCACCCAGTAGGTGGTGTGGACAACATGGTACCGGTCGTCTTTACCTCCACTGACATCATGGCACCCAGTAGGTGATGTGGACAACATGATACCGGTCGTCTTTACCTCCACTGACTTATCACGGCACCCATTTTAGACTAGGTCTACCTGGCAGCAATGGTCAACTATAAAAGCGCGAATTGATGCCCATTTAACAGTCTATTTTCAGATCAACCCAGGCAGAGCAGGCAGTGTGCAGGACTCAACTCACCAAGGACCTCTTCCTGCAAAACTAGCAAGCTTCTGTCTCTCTCCATCTTCCGACCTAGCTTACAAATATCTTGCACCTTCGGGCGTTCTAATTTTTTGCAAACCTTTGTTACCTCCTCTACTTATCTAACGGTGCACACAACAACAAGATTGTGACAGCGTCCTGTGGGGGCCGTGTTTTTAGGGCGACTCAGTATGCGGAAACTGTTGTTTCGTGGCCGGTGTGACTTTCGACACTGACTTGGTGCCTAACACAGATGAACAGTGCAAAAGCTAGCGAATAGCCAATTAAACAGGGAACCAGGCCTCAGAACCAGAACTTAGGCAACAAATGAACAACTCAGGTGAAAAGTGCTCAACACCAAGGAATATAAATACAATAAGATAGCAAAGGAACCGTCCTTGAAAAAGCAGGCCATCAGGCGGCTAAAAAAGGACTAAGCTTGAAATTTTTGTTTGGTTTTATACGATACGATACCATTTAACAGCACTGGTGCTTGTCGCATTGGGCTGCAGTTAACCTGGCTGGTGACGCCGTTTCGTGTGCTCTAATTATTCACTTTAGAAGTTAAGAGGGTATCTGAGATCTGCCTTGTTTATCTGGGATCTGCCTTGTTTATCTGAGATCTGCCTTGTCTATCTGGGATCTGCCTTGTTTCTCTGGGATCTGCCTTGTTTATCTGGGATCGGCCTTGTTTATCTGGGATCTGCCTTGTTTATATGGGATCTGCCTTATTTATCTGGGATCTGCCATGTTTATCTGGCTTCTAGGTTTAGATCTTTCAATCTCACGATGATGGGGTAAACGTTTAGGTAGCAGGTCGGAGTTGACATTCCAAACATTTCGAACCTAAAGACAAAATGCTTTATGAGACGGTATATCCAAGTAACTGGTTCTGGTGTCAAAGTGAAGAGTTTGCCATGAAGATCAAAGGCTCAGTGACGCTAGCTGAATGGCAGCATGGGTGAGTCTAAATGAAACCGAACACGGACACAGGCATGCAGGTGTCGTTGGGTTGTTCGCCTATACGTTCAAATTTCAAGTGTGATGGACAAAAGAGACCACATTTTTGGGGATGTCTAGAAGAAGACCCTAATCTGTTCACCACCTTATTAAAGATGAGCTGTTTTTTCCTCAACGAATTCATCATTGTCAGGCTTCCTAATGTCTAACTACTGCTGGACTGTGAGTCCCTTGTAACATTTCGACAACAGAAACGAAAAGGAGAAAACTGGAGTACATCATGACTGCGGGAACATTGAACTGGACAAGAAACAAAGGGAGACCGAAAGAGAACAGGCTGTACAGTCTGATATCATGTTATGTAAGGTTATCTGTTAGGATCGATTAAAAGTACACACAACAGGAGCTTTTGGACAGATATGACAACCAACGCCTCGAAGCGTGGACTATTAGATGAAGAAGATATGCACACTCTGAACTCATTATAATATGATAATACTGAACTCTCATACATCTGTTAGTTAATAGTTCCTTCTATCTACTGCGTAACAGGTTGTCGAGGGATGAAACGGTGAAACCGCGTGATCGTATTGAACTCCCAAAGCTGGCAAGTGTGACTACGTCTAGCGACAATCGTGTGCCAGGAATGTCCGTTGTGGCTTTGAAGGAAGATATGTTGGCCAGGTGAGTTTGTCATAGGTGTAGCCAGGTGACAGGTGAGTTTATCCCTATATTAGCCAAGTGATTGTATCATATGTTGTCTATGTGATTGTATCATATGTTGTCTAATGATTATATCACATGTTCATCATGTGACTGTGCCACATGTTGACCAAGTGATTGTGTCAATGTTGACAAGGTTATTGTGCCACATGTTGACCAGGTGATTGTATCACATGTTGACCATAGGTGATCTGTGCCACATGTTGACCAGGTGATTGTGTGGTACTAGTGACCAGGTGATTGTTGTTACATCGTGAAAGGGTATTGTGCCACATGTTGACCAGGTGATTGTGCCACATGTTGACCAGGTGATTGTGTCACATGTTGACCAGGTGATTGTGTCACATGTTGACCAGGTGATTGTGTTACATGTTGACCAGGTGATTGTCTCGCATGTTGACAAGGTTATTGTGCCACATGTTGACCAGGTGATTGTCTCGCATGTTGACAAGATTGTTATGTGACAAGGTTTATTGGCACATGTTGACCAGGTGATTGTCTCGCATGTTGACAAGGTTATTGTGCCACATGTTGACCAGGTGATTGTCTAGCATGTTGACAAGGTTATTGTGCCACATGTTGACCAGGTGATTGTCTAGCAGTTACATGGTGACCAACAGTATTGTTGCATGTTGTGACAGGTTGTTGCCACAGGTGACCATTGTGTGTACATGTTGACAAGGTTATTGTGCCACATGTTGACCAGGTGATTGTGTCACATATTGACCAGATGATTGTGTCCATATTGACCAGGTGATTGTGCCACATGTTGACCAGGTGATTGTCTCGCATGTTGACAAGGTTATTGTGCCACATGTTGACCAGGTGATTGTGTCACATATTGACCAGGTGATTGTGTCACATATTGACCAGGTGATTGTGTCACAAATTGACCAGGTGATTGTGTCACATATTGACCAGGTGATTGTGTCACATATTGACCAGGTGATTGTGTTACATAATGACCAGGTGATTGTGTTACATAATGACCAGGTGATTGTGTCACATATTGACCAGGTGATTGTGTTACATAATGACCAGGTGATTGTGTTACATAATGACCAGGTGATTGTGTTACATAATGACCAGGTGATTGTGTTACATAATGACCAGGTGATTGTGTTACATAATGACCAGGTGATTGTGTTACATAATGACCAGGTGATTGTGTTACATGTTGACCAGGTGATTGTGTCACATGTTGACCAGGTGATTGTGTTACATAATGACCAGGTGATTGTTTTACATGTTGACCAGGTGATTGTGACACATAATGACCAGGTGATTGTCTCGCATGTTGACAAGGTGTTGTGTCACATGTTGACAAGGTGTTGTGTCACATGTTGACCAGGTGATTGTGTTACATGTTGACCAGTTTTACCCATATTAGTCTGGTGGGAATGCCATATTTGGTCAATTTAGCGTGTGGTATTTTGAAGAAAGAGTGAATGAAGAGATTATTGCAACTAATAAAACAAATTTTAAAAAATAAAAGAACAGACAATTTTTAGTCGCATTCGTTGTAGTAGTAGTGCTGGTAATATTAGTAGTATTAGCAATAGTAGTAGCAGTTTTAATATCAGAAGCAGCAGCATCAGTAGCAGTATTAGTGGTGGTGGTGGTGGTAGTAGTAGTAGTAATAGTAGTAGTGGTAATAATAGTAGTAGTAGAAGAAGATAAGAGAATAGTAGTTAGGTAGTAGTAAGTAGTAGGATTAGTAGTAGTAGTAGTAGTTAGTAGTAGTAGTAGTAGTAGTAGTAGTAGTAGTAGTAGTAGTCGTATAGTAAGCAGTATATGTAGTAGAAGCAGTAGTAGGGGAATTAAAAAAAAAAATAAGGGAGTAAAATGAGAGAGTGCAGCAGCAGCGATCACACTCTTTGACATATTCCAACTGTTTTCCCTTCTGTCAATCAGATACGAGCGCCATGTCCACATTCCAAATGGCCAAGAAAGCAGCAGAGATATTGAACCCAGACCCACTAAACAGGAATCCCAGAAAGCTAGCCAGCAAGAGGCACATCTTCATCACCGACTAGCATGCCGTAACAACATGTCAAACTGGGTGTCGCCAAACAACGCGGGTAGCCAAAGAAGAAGAATAAACCAACACAGAACAGGTGTCCTTAGCCGTGCAATAAGGATAATCTGTCGACTAACTAACAAACCAACATCGCAGGTGTTCTCTAAGTCTTACAACATCGGTCACAAAAGCTCGTCGAGGATGTCAGTATGCTCATACATGCTTCTCTCTATCGGACAGCTTCATCTACTTGGCAGCCCTTGAAATTCATCTTGTCACTGATCTTTTCCGCCTTTAAAAAACAAAAACAAAAACCTGTCACCATCATCAATTAATACAGAACGCCACTCTAATCAGGGCAAGCTTCAAAGTCCATCTTTTTCAAGCCGACTCTCCAACCTTACGTGTTTGCAGAGATGTGTTTTCAGATTCGATGTCCTGTATCCACCCTCACGGAGGTCTATCTCTGCCTCGCTTTCGGGAAACCGTACCCTTCATCGCTGTTCTCTCCAGGCCACCATGACAAACATTCGAGCCTAAATACCCCAGTTTTCGGGCAGGATGCTGTTTATGAGCTGTTCTCCTCCATGTAGGATGTCGGTGTTTGTCTTCTTTTAAGGTCATTTATGTAGTCGTAACCAAACTTATATAGAGAACGGTCCGATGTTTCCCATGTTGTGACCTATGCAGTCATAATGTTGAGTTTTTGATATTTTCATTCATTGATTATGTCTGACAACTGTTGCGTTGTGTGTTGTTTTGTGTGTTCAGGATTAAAATGCTAGTATATTCTTAGAAAAAACGAAATTTTTTTTATTGTTAATTTATCCGAGACTACAGGTAAGAGATGTAAGGAACAACAACCTGAGAGAGTGTACTATCAAGACAAGAGATGGACGAACAACAACCTGAGAGAGTGTTCTATCAAGACAAGAGATGGACGAACAACAACCTGAGAGAGTGTACTATCAAGACAAGAGATGTACGAACAACAACCTGAGAGAGTGTTCTATCAAGACAAGAGATGGACGAACAACAACCTGAGAGAGTGTTCTATCCTGACAAGAGATGGACGAACAACAACCTGAGAGAGTGTTCTATCAAGACAAGAGATGGACGAACAACAACCTGAGAGAGTGTACTATTAAGACAAGAGATGTAAGAACAACAACATGAGAGAGTGTACTATCAAGATAAGAGATGGACGAACAACAACATGAGAGAGTGTTCTATCAAGACAAGAGATGGACGAACAACAACCTGAGACTATCCTATCAAGAAAAGAGACCGGATGATCTTTAGACCCATTGCAGACAACCTACACTGCGGAGACGACACCTGACTGATTGATTTACTGATTATTATGCAGTATAAAGCAAAGTAATATCAACTGTACGTTTTTAAACCAATTTTTTCTTTGCGGTTTAAAACTTTTGACCTGCTTACACTCTAAGCAAAGCGACTTTAGTGAGTATATCAACATATACGTATATAGTGCGATATGTGAATCTTTCCAGCTGGATGCACTCATTCTTCCCTGGGATTTAACAGCCTCTTCATTGAAAAACAATCCTTTTTTAAGGTAGAATTTGACTTTTTCTTTAATGGAACCCTCCAGCTATTCCACAGTATGCGATCGACTCATTCATGAAAATCAAATGCCACTTATTCTTTTTTTTTTTTAAATAATCGATTTGCCTTTATAAAAAAGAAAAAAAAAAGGGTAAAATGCAAATTTTCTGGAACCCTGTTGTCTGGTCGGATGTATTTGATCGTTTCATCAAAGAGACGCGGCTGCCTCCCTCAACATACTCACCTGATTCTTCAAGGTTCGCCTGAGTTTAAGGGTTGTAGTCACTTAAGACCGCGCTCCGCATTCCCAACCCCATTTTTTTTTTATTAGGCTAAGTGCCCCCCCCCCCCCCCTCAACCATGTAAAGAAGTACACTTTTGATATTATTTCAAATGTGTTATAGGATATATGCTATTTTTCATTTTTAAAAATTATTATTGCTGCACACTTGAACAAGGCTTAAGCGGCCCCTCCCCATTTTAAGATCTCCCGTCTGCAAGAAAACTGGAGTGACGGCTAAGCCATCCCTCCGCCCATGTTTTCTTTGTTTCGGTGCCTCGGTTTCGGTGTTTTCCATGCAATAAGACTGTCCATATCCAAGGATTCAACAAGCAGACACTGTGGCGGCTGTTGGCAATCTGCTACCTGTACCTGTAACAGTCGCGGCTGTTGGCAGTCTGCTACCTGTAACTGTCACGGCTGTTGGCAATCTGCTACCTGTAACTGTAACGGCTGTTGGCAATCTACTACATGTAACTGTCGTGGCTGTTGGCAATCTGCTACCTGTAGCTGTCGCGGCTGTTCGCAATCTCCTACCTGTAATTGTCGCGGCTGTTGGCAATCTGCTACCTGTAACTGTCGCGGCTGTTGGTAATCGGCTACCTGTAACTGTCGCGGCTGTTGGCAATCTGCTACCTGTCACTGTCGCGGCTGTTGGCAATCTACTACATGTAACTGTCATATCTGTTGGCAATCTGCTACCTGTAGCTTTCGCGGCTGTTGGTAATCGGCTACCTGTAACTGTCGCGGCTGTTGGCAATCTGCTACCTGTAACTGTCGCGGCTGTTGGAAATCTGCGACCTGTAACTTTCTCGGCTGTTGGCAATCTCCTACCTGTAATTGTCGCGGCTGTTGGCAATCTGCTACCTGTAACTGTCGCGGCTGTTGGCAATCTGCTACCTGTACCTGTCGCGGCTGTTGGCAATCTGCTACTTATAACGTCCGATCATCGCCAGTAGACTAGGGCCATGAAAATAATGCAACTCACTGGTGGTGTCTTCTTGCGGCTGTCACTTCCGGAGCAAAGTTTTGGTTGTTCGTCCGCTTCTGGACTTTGGTCGTGTTCATTTGTTTACAGACCAGGTTTACTTGTATATGGACTCTTGGTTCATCGCCTCTCGGGCAAATAACCTCCAACTTCGACGGAAAAATCCATAATTAGACGCATTTTACGACATGCTTGTTAGCGGACAATGAGCCTGTTATTGTTTCAACCACAAAATGGCCTCGGAGCCCATAAATGGAGCTCACTAGAACCATTTGTTTCCATTGTCAATGTGTAACACCATATCGGGCATGACGACGGTGAAACACTAATGATGAACATGTTGCCACACACACACGTCACACACACACACTCATTCTCAAACATATACGCTCACACTCACTCATTCTCAAACATATACGCTCACACGCACTCATTCTCAAACATATACGCTCACACTCACTCATTCTCAAACATATACGCTCACACACACTCATTCTCAAACACATACGCTCACACGCACTCATTCTCAAACATATACGCTCACACCCACTCATTTTCAAACACACACGCTCACACACACACTCATTCTCAAACATATACGCTCACACGCACTCATTCTCAAACATTTACGCTCACACTCACTCATTCTCAAACACACACATTCACAAATACTCTCTCTAACAACACACTCATAACCCCCCCCCCCCCTAACCCCCACTATAACACCCCCCCCCCCACACACACACACAACACACAAACGCACACCACACACACAAGAGGTAACACTCATATAAAGCATGACAAACGTATTCGCATAGACATAAAGTTGAATGTACAATTTGGAAACCAGTTATTTTGTACATGATAACAATAAGTATATATAGAAGTAGGGAGGGGGAGTGGCCTGTTGAAAATTCAACACTGACTTTTAACTTCCATTTATTCATTAATTAATTCATTCATTCATTCATTCATTCATTCATTCATTCATTCATTCATTCATTCATTCATTCATTCATTCATTCATTCATTCATTCATTCATTCATTCATTCATTCATTCATTATTTCGTTCTTTCGTTTTTGTGTCATATGTGTCCCCATCACCATTGAATTATATAGTATCATTATTTATTCTTGGCTGTCGTTGCTACCACCATCACAACCTACCACTAACATTACCACCGTCTTCATGATTGTCATCATCACTATTATCATCGCATTGGTTGTCATTTATTACCGCTACTTCATCACCATCAGTGTCTGCTTGTCAGATTTAAAACATGGCGAAGTACGACTATGCAGCTTTAAAGCATGGCTAAGTTCACTTTACTCCATGTATGTGTTCACTTTACTCCATGTGTGTGTTCACTTTACTCCATGTGTGTTTACTTTACTCTATGTGTGTGTTCAACTTTACTCCATGTGTGTGTTTACTTTACTCCATGCGTGTGTTCACTTTACTCCATGCGTGTGTTCACTTTACTCCATGCGTGTGTTCACTTTACTCCATGCATGTGTTCACTTTACTCCATGTATGTGTTAACTTTACTCCATGTATGTGTTCACTTTACTCCATGTATGTATGTGTTCACTTTAATCCATGTATGTGTTTACTTTGCTTAATGTATGGGTTTACTTCACTCCAACAAGAATAGAACCACTGCGCACTAAGGTCATAAAGGTCGACTGATTACGGACATTTCTGCCAGAGTGGCAAGGAACCAACAGTCTGCATTCACATAAGACTGAGGTGTAAAAAGTTAGTTAATTGAAAGATTATCCCCACTCACATCGGACAAGTCATAAGCGCTCAGATCCCAGCATGTGGCGACCGAGAACAATAGTGCTGTGTTGGTTTACTATTCTTCTTTGGCTACCCGTATAGTGTTTATATTAGGTGATACCGCTTTTGATCCAAAGTTCTTGTAGTCTTTTACTGTTGTCGATTCAACGTCGTCCTGACTCCTAGAGAGAACTGAGAATGTCGGCCCGGTCCAATGCTGTTCAGTAACTAGTCCAGAAGTGAACGAACCACCAGAAATGCCCGCTGGAGTCTATAAACGGCGAAGAAGAAGAGGAAGAAGACATTTCGCTTGATCATCTAAGGTATATGTACTTAAAGTGCATTCTTTCTGTGTCCCTTTGCTAACTAAAGTACTTGGCACTCATGCTTCC